TGGTCTTGGGCACCCTGTTTATTGGGGGCTCCCTTGTGGCCGGACAGCAGCTGACAGGGGGAGACCTCATGTCCTTCCTGGTGGCCTCCCAGACAGTGCAAAGGTAAGTGGGGGCCGTTCCCATCGCTGCAGGGCCCCATGCCACCCTCCAGAGCCCTGCTGGGACAGGGGACATAGGTGCCAGCCTTCTCTGGGGGCCGACTGCCGTGCAGCTCCAGGCCTGCCCAGCCCCCCCCCGGGGATGCTTCGGGCTGGGAAAGAGCGGGGAGAGAGCCCCTCAGGGCCCAGAACAACCCTCCTGGCTGGGGCAGTGGTGCTTCGGCAGGCATGTGTTTGTCATCTTCAGCCTTCCAAAGGACCCAGAAGTTTCCTTAACAAGCTTTTTAAAAAAAATTTTTGTAACTGTAGTAAAGTACACGTAACATAAAATGCAGCATTTTAACCATGTGGAAGCGTGCAGCTCATTGGTGCACTCACATTGCTGTGCCGCTGTTATCACCACCCATCTCCAGAACGCTTTTTTTTTTTTTAATGGAGTCTCACTCTGTAGCCCAGGCCAGAGTACAGTGGCTCGATCTCGGCTCACTGCAACCTCTTCCTCCCACCTCAGCCTCCCAAGTAGCTGGGATTACAGGCATGAGCCACCATGCCCAGCTAAGTTTTCTATTTGTAGTAGAGATGGGATTTCACCATGTTGGCCAGTCTGGTCTTGAACCCCTGACCTCGTGATCTGCCCACCTCAGCCTCCCAAAGTGCTGAGATTACAGGCATGAGCCACCGCACCCGGCCTCCAGAACACATCTAATCTGGCGGAGCGGAGACTGTCCCCATGAAACTCGAGTCCCTGCTTGCCCTCCCCCAGCCCCTGGCACCCACCAGTCCACTTTGTCTTTATGATTTGACAACTCTAGGGACATCCTATAAGTGGAGTCAGTCTATCCGTGTCCTTTTGCGACTGCATTTTGTCACTCTGCATCGTGTCTTCAGCTTCCTCCATGTTCCAGCCTGTGTCCGAATCCCCTTCCATTGCAGGCTATGACATTCCATCCATGGATGGACCGTCCTTGACAGGCTTTGTGAGCTGCCCCTCCCCATTATCGGCCACTTCAGGGATGAGATGCTGACCCCTGTCCCTGCACATCCCACCCTTAGAGCTTATTGTTTTGCATTGATCTGAAACCACCCACTCAGCTGAACCTCTGGGGTGTCCAGAGCCAATAGGCTGACTTCGCTAGACAGCCTGAGGCAGGCCTCCCCAATCCTGTCTCTTTCCAAGCTAAGCAGAAGCAGTTCTACATACAGCTGCTATGGTAAATAATGGGAGAGTGAATATGCTGTAAGACCTGTCTCCACCAACCACACGTCGCCCCTGCTGCCCTGTCCCTCCCTGAGCCCCCTGCTCTTCCTCCAGGGCCCCACCTGGTTCTGCCGTGGCATGTGTCCTTGCCCTGCTGCGTGGTGCACCCTGCATGTCTGTCGCTGGATAAGAATCCCTCACTGCAGGGCCTACTGTCCAGGGAAGGGGGAGGCAGGTGGAGACCGGCTCCCATTCTCGGCCCCAAACCTGACATTCCACAGAGACATTCCTCCCATTTCCGCGGCTGCACAGACACTCTCCTGGGCCCCATTTCTGCTCGATGCTCCTCAATCTTGAGCATGTTCAGACCCTTTCTGGTCCTGAACTCAGGCCTCCTGGGCAGCCTCACCCTCCTCCAGCCCAGAGAACTGCTCCCTGGTGGCTTTGGAATTCAGATGCCCTCACTGTGATAGAGATGGGGCTGGGGGGGGGGGCATGCGGGTGCTTCCACTGCCTGCCCTGCTCCATGCTGACCCACTTCCCTTGACCACAGCCTTGACCTTTCTGGACAAGACAGTCGTTTTAGTCCTGAGGACCATAAGAAGCTCAGTGGCTCCAGCAATTTTATGATATACACAAGAACACCTAGGGGCTAGTCTGCACTGTCTCGCTGGCTGCTCCCACAGCCACAGGCCCTAGACCCATTCCCTTGGGGGTCCTTCTAGCCCTGCCCATGTGGAGATTCTTCCTGACCCACCTTCAGGGAGTTGGGTTTGTTGTGTAAAGGAGCTGGTGTGTTTCCCACTGGGTCCTGCCAGCTAAGCCAAGGGCCCAGACATCGGCACTGGAGTCAGCAGAGGGGAGGCAGAGAGAGGGGAGCAGGATGGCCTGGCCTGTCTTAGGCAGCCTAACCTGTGGGCCCATCCTGAGCACTCCTGATGGAGATGGGGAGGCACCAGGACAGACAGCAACGGGGGCCCAGCAGCCTCATTAGAATCGGGGCCAGGCCCCACCTGGGTACAGGCCCACAGCCTGCAGCCCACAGCCCTTGGCCCCTGAGAACACGGTTATCTCACTCCAGTGAGTCACGTGCATTTTGAATTTCATTTTCTGCCTGCCCTCTTTGCCAGGCCTTAATGTCTTCCGGATCTCTGGTGGAGAATGTTCTCCTCCTCATCAGCAGATAGCTGGCTGGGCTGTCTGCTTCCTGCTGCTGCCTCCTTGCTGCCTTTAGCAAGTGCTGACTACACTGAGTCTGCTGGGACCTTTTCCCTTTGGGTTTCCAGGCTCCGCCCACTCACCGCCACCCCAGTGCTGGAAGAAGTGAGTCTTACAGCTCAAGGATTGCTGGGGAGTCAGTCTTTCCTCTTCTTAAGGAGTGGACCAGGCATAGACAGCAGAAGACACACTGTCACGGGTCAGCCAGGCCAGTCAGGGACCAGTGACCAAGAAGCAGTTGATTCACCTTCCCCGGCCTCCTGGCAGCCTGCCAACCCTACCCCAGCCCTGCCTGGACGCAGGAGGCCACCCACTGTCTAGACAGATAATACTCACCGCGGGGATACTCACCTGCAGGGCAAGCCCACAAGAAAAGATTTTTTCAGGGAATTTTGTTGGGGGGTCTCCCCAGAGTTCCCCTGTGGCCCAGAGTCTCTGTTTTCTTCTTTCTCCAAAAAGATTTAACATCACTTCTCCCACCTAAATTTCAGCCAAAGTCATTGCTCCCCCAGGAGTCTGCCGCATTAGATCTGCTCTCCCCTCGTGAGCCATGCAGCCTTGATCTCTGTTCATGGCAGCGGCATCTGCATCCTCAGGGCCGCAGGGAGGTCATGGGTCAGCTGGGCTCCCTTCCTTGTGTGCTGATGTCATCCTGCATGTGTGCACAGGCCTACCCCTGCAGACCACAGGTCAGGGAGGTAGAGGACACCACAGAGGCCTGTGCCATCACTTCCATTTCCTCCTGGAGCACCCCCTCCCGCGGGCCTGGGCTGGGCTGAGGGACAGCTGTCATCCTTACCCGGCCAAGGAGGGGGCCAGGGAGGGAGCCAAGGCTCAGCCATCTGGTGTCACCACACCCCAGGGCTCCATGCCCCCAAATTGCAGGAGCGGTCCCTGCATTTAACCCCACAGGCTACCTTGCTCCCCACCATGGCTTCCTTCCCCTTCCCTCTGGCTCGTCTTATTCCATCAATTCCAACCTTCTCTCCTTCTCCTGCCAGGTCCATGGCCAACCTCTCCATCCTGTTTGGTCAGGTGAGTGGCCAGTAGGGTGGAGGCCTGGGTTGTGAACTCCACCATGTATGTACCGCTGTGGGAGCTGCCTGTTGACTGGGTGTGGGTGGGCGGAGAGCTGGGGGGCCCCAGCCCAGAGCCACAGCCACTCCCTGGAGATGCTGTCATCACCCCTACTCCTGCCTCTCTGTGGACTTTGGATCCCCTCCCACAGGTGGTCCGGGGGCTGAGCGCAGGCGCCCGGGTCTTTGAGTACATGGCCCTGAGCCCCTGCATCCCGCTGTCTGGGGGCTGCTGCATCCCCAAAGAGCACCTGCGTGGCACCGTCACATTTCACAACGTCTGCTTCAGGTCAGCGTGGGTGAGCAGGCATGGGGGTGGAGGTCTGGCTTAATGCCCCCCATAAACAGGCCCTCTCAGAGGGCTGCAGGGAGACTTAGGAGGGACTGGGACAACAAGGGCTGGGAGGCTGGTCTGACTGGGGGTCTCTTGGCTCCTCCCAGCTACCCCTGCCGCCCCGGCTTCGAGGTGCTGAAAGACTTCACCCTGACGCTGCCCCCTGGCAAGATCGTGGCCCTCGTGGGCCAGTCTGGGGGAGGTAAGGGAAGCCTTCTCTTCATCCTCTGGCTCTTCCTCTGGCAGCCACTCAGATCAAGGTCGGGAGCAGTGAGCCCTGCACCCTAGTGGTGTCCCTTCCTCCACTGCCACAGGGCCCTTTCCTGGGACAATCCCCAGAACCCCTGGCCTCCCTCCCTCTTACCCTACTTCCGCAGGAAAGACCACCACCTCCCTCTGTCGCCCTAATTCTCCAGGAAAGACCACCGTGGCTTCCCTGCTGGAGCGCTTCTACGACCCCACGGCAGGCGTGGTGATGCTGGATGGGCGGGACCTGCGCACCCTTGACCCCTCCTGGCTCCGGGGCCAGGTCATTGGCTTCATCAGCCAGGTGCGTGGCCCTCAGTCCCACTGCCCATCCCCCTCTGGGCTCTGCCCCTCTTGTCCTCAGGTACCTTTTCTTTCCATCCCACCCTCACCATCCCTGCTGCTCTTGGGAGACCTCTGGCTTTCTCCACATATACCCGGCTGTCGTCTGGGCAAGTCATCCCTTCCCAGGAGCAGCCACAGCTCTGCCTGGTCTCCCAGAGCAGGGACGCTTTGTCCCAGTTTACAGCAGTCTACGCAGATGGGGCACCCCTGGGATTCTCTGCAAATCCCATAGCATCCAGGTCTAGGGGAGCCTGTGGTGGGGTTGCTGGGCCTGCAGCCATTCTCCCTCTGCTTGAGGTGGCCCTGCCCAGCGGGGATCCACCCTCCCCTTTGAGGGCTGTGAATGAAGAGGGTGGCCTGCCATCCCGCCAGGGAAAGTACCTGTGCCGGAGAAAGGCAAGTGCAGGCCCCCGACCCCAGCGCCTGCTCTGCCGGCGCCCCCCAGTCCCACTCCTGGGGAGGGGTTCTGGGCCCTTGGTAGGAGGTCGACCTGTCCTTCCTTTCTGGGGGCCGCTCTGCATCCTCACTTCACCTCTGACTCTGAGCTTCTGATTCTTTAAGAGCTCCTAGTCTTATCCTCCAAAATGGACCGTCCCGACGTACATGGCAGCCCTTTGGGTTTCTGGGGCAAAGAGAATGTTTCTGTGGACTCTATCTCCATAACCCCTCACCCACAGGAGCCGGTCCTGTTTGGGACAACCATCATGGAGAACATCCGCTTTGGGAAGCCGGGAGCTTCCGATGAAGAGGTGTATGCAGCTGCCCGGGAGGCCAATGCCCACGAGTTCATCACCAGCTTCCCCGAGGGCTACAACACGGTTGTCGGTGGGTGCCAGGACAGGACCCCTGCTCAGGTCTGCGGGGAGCCAGGCGGGGAGGCACTGGGACACAGGATTCTGCAGGAGCAGTGAGCAGCCCAGGGGGACTGAGGGGAGCCGGGACAGTTGGGGAGAAAGATGGTTGTGTCCGGGAAGACCAGAGCCACAGCCAAGGGGGACAGATGCTCTGTGGGGACGGGAGTCCAGGCCCATATGGTTCAGAGCCAGCAGACCAAGAATTCCACAGAGACAAGACAGGCTCCAGGAGGAGCTGGAGAATGCAGCAAGGGCATATGGCAGGACCCTGGCCAGGAACACAGTGATGCATGGTGTTTGGAGTCCCCACCAAGCCTAAAGGGCCGCCACTTCCCCAGACAGAACAGAAGGCACAAGGGCCACCTCCTCTCCACTGCTCATCCCCCTTCAGCCCCTGTTGCCTAACAGAAGACCCAGAGGGCCGCCTCCTCTCCACTGTCCGACCCCGCTCCGGCTCCTGTTGCCTTCTTGTGCTTTTCTTCTCTAAAGGCGGTTCTCCTCGTTCTAATCAGGGTGGCTCGATGGGCTCCAGCAGAGGGCTCTGGTGGTTCTGAACTAGGGGCACGCAGCTGGCACTGAAGGCTCAACTAGGGGCATGCAGCTGGCACTGCAGGGCTGAACTAGGGGCACGCAGCTGGCACTGAGGGCTGAATTAGGGGCACGCAGCTGGCACTGAGGGCTCAACTAAGGACACGCAGCTGGCACTGAGGGCTGACCTAGGGGCACACAGCTTTCACTGCAGGGCTGAACTAGGGGCACACAGCTGGCACTGCAGGGCTGAACTAGGGGCACACAGCTGGCACTGAAGGCTCAACTAGGGGGATGCAGCTGGCACTGCAGGGCTGAACTACGGGCACGCAGCTGGCACTGAGGGCTGAACTAGGGGCGCGCAGCTGGCACTGCAGGGCTGACCTGGGGGCGCGCAGCTGGCACGGCAGGGCTGAACTGGGGGCGCGCAGCTGGCACTGCAGGGCTGA